GACATAACATTTTTCCCCCCCACCCCAGGGAAATGAACATTAACATTCAGCCCACATTCCCAGGGTCACTATCACCCTGTCACATAGTCTCCATTGCCAGATGGGCGGGACCCTTCATTCTATGGAGGCGTGTTGGCGTAAAGCTGTGTCAGGCGGCGCTTGGTGGGTTACCCCCACCCGTTAGCTCTTGGCCTGGGCTGCCACAGGAGAGCCGCTGCTGGGAACAGAGGTGATGCAGGTGCTGGGGGGCTGTGACTCTGTGCAGGCGGTTTGAGCTCAACGAGTCCCATTCTCCAGTCTGTAAGTAGCCGGCCCTAGCGCTTAGTTCACCGCAGAGGCTCTGACAGTACGACTGCAGCTTATGTTGGCGGTTGGGGTTTGATTTTCTGACCCAATCCTCCTGCAGAAAGTGATGGGGTCTTGTACTCTGTGCGTGGCCATCAAATTCTCTCTTATCATCCAAGCCTGCGAACCTTTCACCTGAGCTTTGGCTTTCTGTAGCCCTGGCTCCCACGTGCAGGAGCTGGCTCAGCTCTCAAGCGATCCAGTGGTTGCTTTAAGTTCGCGCCCCAATCATGAGCAATGCAAGTGACTCTTCCTGTGGTGGAATGCTTGGATGCCCGGATGGTCAGGAGAGTTTGGTCGCTGAACGTTTTTCCCTCTCCAGGACAGGCCCGGATTCCATTTTTTGAGAGTTTTATTTCAGTCTTTCACCCCCCCCCCCCCCCCAAATTACTCTCTGGGGTGATACGCACTGCCCGTCCTGATGTGCTTGGAGTGGACCGTATTCGCGAGAAACTCTGAACTCCGCTGATGGCAAAAATTGGGCCCGTTATTCGTATGTGCGACCACTGGGAAGCGCCCCAGCGCCCAAACAGGTTGTCCAGGCGGTCGATATGGAGTGTGCAGTGATGGATGCTCAGTTGAAAACCTCTGGCCACTTTGAATGAAGGATCGTGCACAACCAGCAGGTAGCGCAGCGTGAGGCAGTGCCCGTGAAGTTCTCCACAGAGGTCGACCTGGGAATATGGTCCCAGTGTGAAGACGGCCAAGGGGTCGGGGTGAGAGGGCTGTGGCAGGCGACCAGTTTTCCCACTCAGGAGGCAGCAAGGCGCAGTTACGTACCAGATCTTCAACATCAGCAGTCTATGTGGGGCCACCCAACACTGTGTCAGACAGCGCTGCTTCACCATTGACCACCCCCAGGTGCCCCTCATGGCCATGTGTAGTACTCTGGACCTTGACGAATCTTCTGGAACGACCGCACGGTGGCCACGAGCTAGGCACACCGCCCCCAGGCAGGAAGCTCTTCGCCTGGAACAGTTATGTAGGGGAGCAGCCTGTCATCCCACTTTGGCAGGCCAGCGTCCTGGACGTATGTGCGGAGGGATTGTGGGGCCTTCATCATCAGCTTTGAGCCTGCTGAAGCTCCGCCCAGGGTGACCACTGAACCTGGAGGTGGCCCGTGCAGGATGTGGACCCAGTCATCGTCGCTCCTTTGGTCTGATGTCCACTCCGTCGTCTCCTTCGTCACGTGGCCACCGTGTTGGCCCGGACCAGGCATAAACTCCAGACTGAATGTACTGTTTCAGCCTTGTCAGCCAACCGCAGGCAGTCTCATGGCCTGTGCCCCGAGCCTTGAGCGCAAGCAGTGCAGTTCAGCGGCTTGGTGTCGGCGAATGGTGAAAGGCCTTCCGTATAGGTAAACATGCCCGCCCAGAGGCAGGCCAGAGACCTCCCCTCCCCCCCGAATACTTCGCTCCGATGGAGTGAGGGATTGATTGCGTACGCTTCGTGGCAGGCCGGGGTTAGTCCAACATAACATCCTTCCTGGCCAGCCGGCGCAGGGGGGCCGTTGAGGTCAGAGTAGTGTGTCATGGAATCTGAGGTAGTGGCGGCCATCCCCAGGAAGGAAGACAGGCTGGGATGCCGACTGCGGGTCTGCAGGGACATGAATGGCCTCAAGTTGTGGGACAGAACCGGGCGATGCCCTCCTTCTTGAGAGCCTGAAAGCCCAGGAACTCGACCTCCTCAACCCCGAACATGCACCTCTCAGAGTTTAGTGTGACTCCATGCTGTTACGAAACGCTGAAAGGCCTTGCTCCAGGGCGAGCGTCATCAGTGCAGGTGGAGGGCGCAATGAACCACCACGTTCATCCAGGTTTTTTTAGATGGAGACCCCTGGATTACCAAGCCAGTATGAGTGACATTATCTTCTGAAAGCCAGTCGGGGCTGAGAAAGTCCAAATGCATGCGTTTAAATCGAAAACCCCCACGTGGCGTGACAAAATTGCTTGTAAACGGTCATGCTGGCGTGCCAGGAGGACCTGCAGGTACCGTTGCGTAAGTCCATCTTACTGAAGACAGTGAGAGCCGTGGATAATGGCTAGTGAGCTCCTCAGTATGTGGGGTACTTATCAGGGATGATGCTTTGTTTTACATCTGTGAGGTTGACACAGAGTCTCAGTCCCACCCCCCTTCTCTTGCTATTACCAGGTTTGACACCCACGGCGGAGGCGTTCGGACAGGCTCTATGACGTTCGACCTCCACCAGGCAATGCAGTTCGGCCTCCACCGCGTCACAAGAGAGGCAGGGAATGCGCCGGTAAGGCTGGATAACAGGGGCGGACTGACAGGTCAACAGGTAGGCTGGTGTACAAATCCAGTCATGCGGCCCAGCCCATTGAACAGTTGTGGGTAGCGGTCAGGCCAGGAGGCGGCAACCTGCAGGAACATGCAGGCCCCTAGCATCACTACACAGTAAAACCCAGGGCAAGGAACAAGTTTAGCCCATAATGTAGCTCCCCTCCGGGTGATGCAGAACTGGTGGCAGGTGCACATTGTTGATCATATCTGACGGGGAGGCGAGCACACCCAGAGTGGAGATGGAAAAGGCCATAGACCTAACGGGCTTCCAGAGGCACGTGGACTGAAGAAGCGGTTCATATGTGCATTTGTTCAGGATTGACACTTAATTGGCCCACGAGGAGCGGAATGAGAGCTGGCCCACACGCACGTGCATGAGCTTGAATGAAGGCTGTAAAAAACGGGGGGGGTTCCATGTTGTACAGTGTTTTATGGGGGACAGCAGCAGTGTCTGGCAAGCAGGAGAGATCGATCAAAGCAGGCGTTGCAAAATGTTCAATCTTTGCGAGTTACGACAACATTTTCCCTGGGCCAGGGAATTGACTGATCTCTGGTTGCATGTTTAGGGAGCCACAGTTGCCACAGCTCTTGTGCCCACTTTCTCCCTGGGCCCCCTGTCCACTCTCATGCTACATCCAACTGCCCTCACCCTGTCAGCTGCTCTGCAGTCTCTGTGTGCTGACACTGACGGTGGTGATGACGCACAGGCTCGTGTGACAGCGCGGCCGAACTTCGCGCCTCCATTTAGGGGTTTCCAACTGCTTTCCAAGCTTACTTAAAGGTCCGCTAGTGTCATGGAGTCTGGCTCTATGTAAAAGTCTCTCCTTAGTTGGTTACATGACGTTTTCTCAATTAACTGGTCAACTATAAGTCCCTTCCTCCAAAGGTCCCAAAATTCACAAAGTTTTCTCCCCGCTCACGTAATGCGATGATACATAGTGGGCAACGGTCTCACCCAGCTTTTGGGTCCTCTGACGAAACTCGAAAACGGGTGCATCCAGCGGGCTTCTACCGGAGACTGAACGTACTAGTCATCCGATAAGGTGAGCGTGGCGAAGAATTCGCTGTCCTCCTGCCCGGAGAAATGGCGCAGAGCGCGGCAACTTCCTCACTACCGCTAGGTCACGCGTGTCCAAAGCCAGCAGGATAATTCCTCAAACGACGTCCAGCCATCGATCCCAGGGAACAGCTGGAATCGCCTGGGAACAGTAGTGAAGGTGGGGTGGTGTAAGGAACGGAGTTCAGAACTCGTTCGTCAATGACCCACGCCGTGTAGGCTCCGTTCGTGTTGCGTTTACTCAACCCTTCACACCTTACATTTACGACACTGCCGTACATCCTTGCCGTAAGCCTTAAAGGCACCAGTACTGTCACTCGCAGTGCCAATAACATAACAGAGGTTCCAACAGGAACACAATACTGAAACGTTTTTCAGACCGTAACAGTGTGTGTCACCAGGACTGAGGAAATCAACCAAACATCTGATGGTTCAGTTGGGACTGTGAGGAAAGACAAGCACTGGAGATTGATAATGCACTCAGTCCGCCAGCCAAAATAGCTCACTGTGAAAGAAAAACATGACACAATATAATGGATAGATCAATTTTAAATACATTTAGCTTTAACTGTATCTCCTTTAACCTTTATTACTCTTTAATTACTTTACTTGACTTTAACACACATTCATTTCAGGCTTCAGGTATTTTTGCCTGGTGAACTTTCCATTGCATTCCCCACAGTGATTTCCTGCATTGGTTTTATGACAGGCCTTTGCTGCCACTGTGGTCATAAGTACATACTTACTTTATCCATGAATATTGTGTCATGTTTTCTTCACAGTGAGGCTACTTAACATTTTTTGTTGACCTTTCTTTTTTTTTCAGGCCATTTTAAGCAGTGCAAGTTTGCAATGTAAATATTTAATAATGAAGAATGGACAGTTTTACACACAAGAACAGCACAGCCTAAATATAAATATAGACACCAACAACACAGTTATTGACTGAGTGCAAAACGAAAGTAACCATCAGAAATAGGAAGATTCAAATGTCTGATCTTTAGAGGTCTCTCGATGTAAAGCAGTTTGTATGTAAAGAGAGAGCCAAAAAAGGTGTCTGTGAACAAGTAGACTGAGCAACCTAATGTTCCAGCTGGGCACTCCCTCCACTGTCCAGACTGGAGGGGAAAAGTCTTTTTACCACCGATGAGGCAGGAGTGAGAGTAGTCCATGTTTGGCCTGCAGCGAAGCAGTTCAGACCCCTGTTCAGATCCCCTCTTCAAGCACCACAGCTTTCAGTTCAATACAA